GACCATTACATACTTCAAATTTTTAGGGTTCAATTTGACATCAAACAAAAGAGTTATTCACAACAAACTTCCAATCATATGAGCCAATAAAAAATATAACAACAATTATTGACAAATATACAATACCTCGCCTTTGATCGAGCATCGATAAGCTGATATGTCTTTTCCTCGATATTATTTCTCACCTGAGAAAAGAAACTATTAGCAATCAAATAAAATAAAAAATGAACAAGAAACAAATGGTACCTAATATAACACAAGAATTTATTCAATGACAGAGCATGTTATACAACCTCGTATTTTGCTAAATCAAGGTTGCATTGTGTTTATAGCATTATAAGCATGATAGATAAGGAATGTTACCAACCAAACCAGCACACATTATGATAGTCTTCTTTTTACTGGCTAGGAGGGGTTCACTACTTACTAGATCCAATTTATCGTAGACAATGTAGTACATTGCCTAGTACTTTTTATTTCCTTTTTTCCAATTATATACAGGAATCAAGATGCGCTGAGAACAGTGATGCCTTCCTACATCATGAGAATAGATAGCATGCTAGGGGAGTGTAGGACTTCTACAGTGGATGAGAAGCGGGAAGGGGTTCAATATACAACATCCAAAGTTCAAAAACATCACTTCAATCTGTCATAATGATGTTACAACGATGAAGTCACTTTCTTTTCGAGAGAATGACTTCTCAGTGCTTAACACAGCAATACATGGTATGCGAAACTACGAAAGCAACATAGGTTACTTGCATAATTTTTCCCCTTTCTCTTTAAATAAGGATTAAATGAACTGCCTTCTTTAAGAAACTGATTAACTCCATGAAACTTTTCAGCAAGGGTGAATTATAAACTTATATGAAATTTATTTTTAATAAATTATTTATAAAAGCTACTCAAATAAATCAGGAGGATAAACAGACCTCATAGATCAACATACAAACATTGCTTCATGTTTGCCCAATTCCTTTATAGCTTATATATCTATTAAATAATTTGAGAAAGCCCCTACCACCTTTACCCATAAGAGAGCCAACAATTTTATTTTACCCCACAATACAGCACATGGGACAGCAACACCATTAAATATAAGACCATTCTACTCAAGCAACATAATCTGCAATTCTTGCCATAACTGCATTTTTACCTAAGCAGCTTCTTCTTTCACAACTATACCCCACAAAACACATCTGTAAGTCTGTAACGACTCTACGTTACAAGACTTACAACCATCTGCACAAAAGAAATCCAGCGCTGCAGAATTCTACAGACCTATCACCAAAATTAGCAAAAACATTTGTATGCTAGTGACATCACCTGGTCAAGTGTCCACACAAGATGAGGCTGATAGTTGGTCTGAAAGGTGATTGGCCCAACCTGGGAAAGCAAATGCAATGAGGTTTAAGGTTCATTGAAGGTTCTTAAAAAGCAATATATCAAAGCATAAAAGAGAAAGAGATTAGAGAGAAGATGTTTTTAGCAAAAATGGATGGACCGACTGAAACATGCAGCGACCTTCAAACACTTAGTTCACATAATAAAATATGCCACAGAATCAAAGATTTATTTTGTTGAGTGTCATTTTGTCTGAAGTGCATTTTTCATAGTTAGAAGATCCTTTTCTGGTTCTCTAATTCCTCCTTACATTATCTTTATGGAAATGTATCGATAACTGGGATTATGGAGAAGGTGGGAACTAATGAAAAGCAAATAACAAGTACCTGTTGTCCGTGATATACTTTTTCAATGGCCTCACTGGCAGCACTAGCTTTTAAGATAGCATCACCAGAAGCACTGGATTCAACATCATATCCTAACGCACGCCATCGGGGTAGACCTCCATCCAACACCCAAATTCTTTCATGCCCAAATACTCTAAACATCCTTTAAATTCAAGTAAACATAATTCATTATTTCCATAACTCGGGTAGATCCCCAAAATAAAATAAAAATTAAAAAAGGATCTCCCACACAAACTCCAGTCCTCACCACCAAACACGAGCTGCACTAAATATGCCCTTTCCATCATAGACTACAACTCCATCTTTATTCTCTATGCCAAGGGCTGAAACAGCAGCGGCAAAAGCTTCTTCAGAAGGCAACATGTGTGGTAGCTGAAACAATACAAAAACATAATCAAAATTCAAGAGTTTCTCATTTCAAACTCAACGACAATGTTAAAGTTTTAAATCAATTTTGACAGACAAGTGCACACAGAAGATCAGTTTCAAGTCATCAGTAATAACAGAGTTAACATAAGAAAATTAAATATACTTTCGTGTTACAGCCTGACATAACACAACTTTACAACCTCAATTTAGCCATATAATATTTATAGGGAGCGACGATCCAGGAGCGGATTCCCCACCGGCAGGGGGACAGGAGACGGCCATCTCAAGGTCGTTTTCCTCATGCTTTGCATAATACCAAATAACACAGCCCCTGGGCTTTTGCGCCTGTGTACATGTTGCGCTGAACCGAAGTAGCCATTTGCTCAGTCTTTTTCCTTAGCTTAAGATGAGTTCATAGGCACAGTACAGGTTTCGGGGAAAACATGAAAGCGATCACTACACTAGAGGAGGGCAAGACATGACCGCGACTTAAGATTCAAGTACCGTTAAAAAGACTAAAAGAACGACGAACTCATACTAATGCTAGGACTTGTCGTAAGAAAATTTGAAAATGAACAGAAAAGTCATAAAGCTAAGGTCTTCTCCTGTCGTCAATCTTACTAGTCGTTGTCTCCACTAGCTGTAGAGCGAAGCTAGGCATTCCAGCTAAAAGCAGCAGCAACTAGAGCATAGTTACAACCTCAGTTTTCAATTATCAAAGGAATATCAAAAAAATATCCTCTATCATAGAAAATTGGCAATAGGAAAGGAAACCTAAAACACTCGCTATATGCCAAAGGTTTAACCATACAAAGATTATTTACTTGATTAATTTTATTTCCATAATCTTCTGTCGGTCATAGGCCATATAAACAAGACTAACATTGTACATGTTTTTTCCAACAATTCAACCTGCTATGTAAACAAAGGCAGCTAGCAGATACTGAGATATTTTTTTAACTTGTAAAATAAAAACTTACATTTGTAGTTTGATCTGCAATGCCATCCACATCAAAGAAAAGGGCACCAGGAATATGTGCGACCTGTGCACACGAGAAATTGGTTCACTTGAGAACATAGACAATACCTTAAGGAGTTATGTACCTTGATAAAGTAGGCAATATACTAACGACAACATATAAAAAACTTAGCTAGCTAATAATATTACAATTAATATAAAATCAACCTGATACTCCTGAATTGGGTTCCTTTGCTCATCGGGCATGTACCAAGATGCATCCACCACCTGAAAATGAAAAGGGGGCATAATATATAATTGTAATTTAGATATTGCAAGTTTTAACAAACAATTCTAATAACTTTGTATCTTTTTTAAACCATGATTAAGAAATAGTAGCTGTATCATAACCTAACAATCAGTATCGGCTAATTATGTCATATATTATGTCAAATCTCTAATCAATGAAGACCGCTTACTATAAGTTATATAGAACTTTCTACATAAGGGTTTGAATTTCTAGCTTCGCCCCTGAAGCTAAGTACATAAAATCTGAAGCAAGTACCTTTATGTCAGGTTGCCTGAGATTAACATGAAGCCATTCAACTGAAACCACAGGTTCACTTGTAGACAAGGCCTGTGTAGAATAAGATTTTCCTCCAGAGTTCATCGATGATACTACACATGAAAACCAACGAGTTCGCGGTACTGAATTATAGCAACCTACTAGCCCGTTGCACCTTAAACTAAAAGCCCTTGTCTGCAAATTATTAATCAAGCTGCATTAATTGATGATAAACTTAAATACAAAATCCAAAATTTAGCATTCGAATCGACGAATTCCGAGCATAGCCCACCAAGATTCTACCCAATTGAATATGAAATTCATAGAAATTAAGCACATCAAAAAAAAAAAAAAAATCTACCCAATAGAATATGAAATTCATAGAAATTAAGCACGTCAAAAAGAAGATATGAGTTGCAGCATCTAAAAGACCAAGAAAACGGAATTGAAGTGACGAATCAATAATTACTGAAAACCCAACAAAAAAAATACATATAAAATCGGCATATTAATTACATAAATAAAAATAAAGAAAAGTAAAGCTTACATGGAAGAAATGAGGTGAAAATTGAGGTTTGAGGAAAAGAGAGAGGGAAGAAGAATGAAGGAGGCGAGTGTTAAGGAGAATTTTGGAGAAGAGGGCAGACGCCATGAATATGAAAGTAGTGGTGCAACAAGTATTGAGAGAGCATATAGAAGTAGCGGCAGATTCACAACACTTTGACGGAGCAGCGAGAGTCGAGAGGGGCTGAGGTCTGATTGATTAACGTTTAACGATTTGTTAGGTTCAATTATAACCAATTAATCCTATCACTTCACTAATAAATAAAGTCGGTCTCGCAATCAGGTCACGAGACAGCGATACTTGACATTCCAATTTTTCGCCAAGTGTCACATGCCACAAACACGTAAGCAGTTTTTAGATAGTTTTTGTAAGATAAGATTAAAAAGTTATTATATAAAAATATATACTACCTCCGGTTTTTTTTATGTGCAACTTTTGTCATTTTAGTCCGCTCACTATTATGGGCAACTTTCTCTTTTATTTCTATTTTGGGTTAAAAAAAACACTGAAAATTACTATATTACCCTTAATTAAAAATTCAGATTTTTATACTTTTACCCCTTATTACCCATAACCCCCACTTAACTCCATTAACCTAAATTACCCTAATCTAATCACTCCCTCCATTTATTCCTCCCAACCGACACAACTCTCCATCTTCCCAACCACCTGATTAAAACTGATCTAGATTCTTCTTCTGAAGAACCCTAGATCTGATTCTTCATCTTCCTCCTTTCTTTCGCCTTCCTCCTTTCTGTCGCCTTCCTCATTTCTTTCACCTTCCTCTCCAGTTTACATCATGACATCTCCCATTCCCTCATCTTTCCTTCCGAAACCAGAGGCCCACTTTTCCATGAATGACCTTGATCCACTAATTGACGCCCATATTGGCACCGACGACAACAGCGAGGCCACTTTTATCAAGTCCCTCATTAATGATATCAACAGAGGCGATGATTTTCCCCGTCGCCTATACGCGCATGAAGATGGGCCAAGCTGTTGTTCGCTGACCACTTTCAAGGCGTTAGGGGAAGTTCTGAAGAATATTGATGAGGCTGAGCAAAAAACGAAGGAGGAGGGTGTAGGCGAGTCCCGTGGCCAAAAAAAGCTTGATTTTGATGTTGTTCGTGTAGATCTGGGGTCCCAAAGTGAGGATGGTAGTGTTGCGCCCCTTCCCAAGGCCCGATCTAAGCCTTCCAGGCCACCGACGAAGATTAGGCCACGTAGGAAGGCGGCCTTGGTGGCTCTGAGGCGTATTTGGGGTTTGCCGGATCGAGACTTCGTCGTGCTTTCCTCTGATGAGGAGGCTGAGCACTGACCCTTGCGTAACTCTTCCTAACCCTAACTCTTTAATTTTTGAACTAGCTCTGGATTGAATCTGGCCAAAAGTAACCCAGATGTACTTGTTAACCTCTGGATTGAATGTGTCATAAGAGTCTTTCACCTTTTGAACTAGCTCATCTAAGTCTTTAGGAAAAGACTGATATTGCAATGATTGTATAGACCTAAACAGCCCTAAATCAAGCACATTCAAATCAGGTGATTGTGCTGGCTGAAAAATAAATTGAATGTTGAAGCTATTTGTGGTAGTAGCTTCAATGAACTCTGCATCCCTTGGAACTTGGTGAGGCCTTGCATTGTCCCATTGGATTACCACATCCTTGGCCAGACTTTCTGGCCACTTTGACTTGATGGCTGGGATAACTTTTGTGAGCAGCATCTTCCTGATAACTTCTCTGTTTATATTCTGGAGTGCCTTTGTTTCCAAAGTCCCTCTTGGCCTTTTCTTGCTTGATTTCTGTGCTACTTGTTGCAAAGTGAATGGGAAGATGCCATACTTCCCATCATGTAACATTTCTCCATTTATGCCATATAATGGCTTCCCTATAATTGCCATGAACATTGCCTTGAGTTTGAATCTTCTTGACTGAACTGCCATGTAAGGATCCTCCTCACTTGGCAGTAGATAAAACCTCCTTTTATCAGGGTTCAAGTAGAACCACTTCTCATCATAGTGTATGGCATTCCTCATGTCAACAAATGTGGGGTCCTGATTTCCTGTAAATGGATTTATGTGTGACAAAATCCATCTTAGTCTGGCCACCTTATGGCCTGATGACAATGCTGGCTTGTTGCAGGCTGTGTGTGTTCTTAGCCTTCCTCTCCTCTTCAAATTGTGAACTGTGCTATGACTGATCTTCAGTGCTCCTGCATAGCTCCTTTTAGTCTGCCTTAAATGTAATGGGACTGACTGTAGAATTTCATCAGAAATTTCCATTGGATTTCTCCCTGTTCTGCCAATTTTTTTAGTCCTGACATCAATCAAGTCCCCTTCTGCCAGCTGTTTCTTTATATCTGTGAATATTCTTGTTATTGTTGATTTGTGTACGTTGAATTGAGTTGATAACTGCTTCAAGTGACCCCTAGGTAATCTGCCATTGTTCATTTTCACCAATATTGCATCTACAATTTGCCTTTTCTTTTTCATTGGCAGTTGCTTCCTGCATACAATTTGTTGTTGCATTTGTTGGGGTTGTTGTTGCATTTGTTGGGGTTGTTATTGCATTTGTTGTGGTTGTTGTGGCATTTGTTGTGGTTGTTGTTGCATTTGTGAGGAATCAACCTCACCTTCACTGTCTAGCTGTTGTTGTTCTTTGTCTTGGCTACCATCCATGCTGTCATCTTCTGATTCATACCCCCAAAAGCCTGCATCCTGCATTTCTTCTTCTTCTTCAAACCACAACTCTGCCATCTGTTCTTCATTTAGTATGTGTTCAACATCGAAAAAAACAGAATCACCATACTCTGCCATGTGTTTGTGTTAATCAGCACAGGGAGATGATGATGAGGGGCCTGCTGATTTTTTGTGGGGTGAAGATGAAGATGATACCCAGATGTGCTTCAATGACAGCAGGGCAGCCTTTTTTTGTAAATCTTTGAACAGTGTAGTTAGTGTGTAATTAAACCAACCGTAGCGGTGAACGTAGAAATCTGTAATTTTTTGGGATGAAACTCTGATTTTTGCTGGAATGTTTCACCCAGCTTCTAACATTAATGGCTGTAATTAATTTTGTGACAATGGAGGCTGCCTTTATAGCCTTATTAAATGTTGAAATTTGGGGGGCAAAGTCGAAAAGGAGACTGATTTTATAGCCTCCCTTGATGTTTAAAAAAATTTCAGTTTGGCAGATTTTTTTGAAAAAATGGGGGGAAACAAATTTTACATGAAAAATTTGTCAACTTCTGTTTTTGTCAGATTTAATTGAGGGGGAAAATTTGGATTTGTACTTTTGGCCAGATTTTCCCACCAAAATACTTTGTGGGTGGCCACACTTTCTCTCTCCTTCCCCTTTAATTAAACCCACTCACGTTTATTAATCTTTGCCCTTCAATCTTTTGTTTCGTGAACCGCAAAAAGTCTCAAAGTTGCACATAAAAAAAACCGGAGGTAGTATATCCTCCTAAATCACATCATAATAATATCAAAGATATTTCCCCCTATAACAACTCCCATGTAACGTGTGATTAATTTTTCATTGCAGATGATGATTGCATTTGCTTTGAATTTTTTTTATTTTTTTTTATTTTTAATAGGCATACCTTATCTTATTTACTTTATTACTTTGAATTATTGCCATATATACAACTATATGCACCTAATAGAATAGGGAAAAATTATCTTTTTTATTGATAGAAAACTTTAGTTATAAGTTGACATCATATCCAACTGATAATAGCATTTTACTTAATGCAACACACCACATATCATAATTAATATGAATATCCAATTAACAATAGAATTTTACTACTATACGAATAACACGTATTCATAATTATAAATATGGTCATGAATCATTAATTTTTATTTGCCTACATTGAATTATCATCATAGCTTTTCAATCAAGTATTCTTCATATATTAATTTGTATATGTTTGTGATTTCTACTCTCGGTTTCAATAATTTTTGTTATGCTAATCATATTATTATTTTATTTTTCTTATTTTAAGAAAAATGGAAGCAACAAGATAAAAGGTACTACTAAATTTAATAATACAATTAGTTTTCTTTTGCTTTTTTTTTATTATTTATTAAAATTTCTCAATTTATATTTACAAAAATTTTGTCTAACCATTCACAAGCATATAACATCACATAAACAAGTAAATTATAATTTGATCAAGGACCTAGAAATCAATAACGACATACAATACTGGACTTTAAAAGTAAGAATCACTAGATTGTGGGAAGTATTAAACCCAAGGAGGAACAATCATTTTATGGGAATTGACATGATCCTAACTGATGAAGAAGTAAGTCTTCTACAATACTATTAGTTTGCTATATTTCACAAATATACCATCATCACACTAAACTATTAGTTTATTTATTAGTTATCATTGGTGTTTCGGGGTTTTTTGTGTCCCTCGGGAGAGTTACGTCACCTAGACTAATTTCCCACCGGCTGTACCTGCAAAACAACGGAAGCTCCGGGTGTTCGGAGTTCCGCCTCCAACGATCAATTTAGAAAGTGTTCGGAGTGATGTAAGAGTGCGTAAAGTAAAAGTAGATCTTCTCGGATTCTGAGATCTAGTGATTTCTCTATTTTCGAGAGAATTGATTCTGCGTAATAAATGAACGTGTCCCCAAAATGGGGGAAATCTCCCTATTTATAAGGTCATTGGTAAATGTGCCCTTACCTATGTCATTCTGACCTAGATTTGTGGCCTGCGCCGTTTTGCGGCTTTCTCGGGAATTGGGCCATGAAGGCCGTCTTTTTCCCTGCTGATTGGGAGTGCCACGTGTCAGCTGGGGATTGGTTCATTTTGAACCTCTCCTAAGGTGACACGCTTCACCTTCTGATTGGGCCTCATGGCCTGGGTATTTTTACCCAAAACATTTGCCCCTCACAGGGGTGACGTGGTGTGCCACGTGGCGCCTGTGACACTTGTCACACAAGCATTGGTGAACGATTTTAACTGATCACCTTCTGAGAAATTACAGGGATGCCCCTGGTTTTTACCCCTCTATAAATAAGGTTTTACCCCCCTTCCCCCTCATCTTTGACCCTTCTGAAAAGTCTAGAGAGAGAAATAGAGAAGTTTTTAGAGAGAGAGACTCTGATAACCGTCTGCACTTGCGTTCACAAAAATTTCCGTCTGCTATTTCTGTTTGACACAGCCGGTCACCGCTTGAGACCTCTTTGTTCCAGCAATCTTTATCAAGGTAATCGTTTCTCCCCTTCTCAGCTCTTTCAAGCTTTTTACCGTTTGTGTATATTATATTGAATAAATGGGTTCACCAACAACACACACGGCACAACCTAGGACAATTGTCAGCCGATCTCCAGGTACGGCTGAGTCTAGGACTGGGGGTGCCGTCTCTGGGTGTTTGGTCCACCTCTACTCTTCCCCGAATCCAACCGTCTCTGTGTCTGTGTAGGACACTATGGCTTGGACGATGTGGACGGCACTAGACCTAGATTATAGGTCAGACGACGCATTTGACGCGCAGGCTGAAGAGGGATTATACGGCCTAGTAGCATAATGACACGTGGCATCCCACCAGAGGCCCAACGGGATCCAATCGGATGCTGACACGTGGCATTGTAACCCTAATGGGGGAGCAGATCTTCATCTGCTATAAATAGAGGAAAATCCTCATTTATTAGAGATTCATAAATACAAACACAAAACCAAAACAATATTAATTGCGAAATCTCTCTGAATCAGTGAGAAACATTTACTATTTCCGTATAATTTACTACTCCGGACGTACACTAAATTGATCGTCGGAGGAGGAACTCCACCCAACCGGAGTTTCGTGGTTTTGCAAGTACAGACGGTCGGACGCGCATAGTCAGGATTGTAACTCTCCCGCAGGACAAATAAAAAAACCCCGAAACATTTGGCCGTATGTGGGGAGAGTACTTCTGACATGGCATCTGATACTGTATCGCCTGTAGAAGGCAGCCGGCCTACAGCTGAACCTGAGGTCTATACGGACCATGATAGTAGTGACGACTATGAGGTCGACACTTATGTGGCCCCAGACAGGTCACTTCGAACAAGGCGCGTCCGTTCCAAAGAAACAAGGGAACAGGGTCAGAACAAAGCTGGTACTAGTAACCTACCCGGCAAGCCTGCTGGGCAACCCCAACCGGCAGAGGGCGCAGCCCCCGTCACCAGAGACGAGCTCATGAAATTCATGACGGGTTTCAAGGAGGAGATAAAGGATATAATCAAGAAGTCAACTGGCTCAAACAAGGGTCAGTAGGCTAAGAAGCCTTCTCCCTCCAGGAAGAAGCAAATCAAAGACTGGGTGCCTACTCCTCACCCCAAGCCCAAGGGGACGAATGGGCCCCTGATCGACCTCTCAAAACTTCGTTTCCCTGAATCAGGGCAAAGGAAGGCCATCCGGCAAGTACAACCGGATGGGTCAAAGAAGACTTTCTCTGACGCCCGGATGTTCCTCCAGGAGAAGAGAAGTCAGCAAATGTCTGGGTTGGCCTCAACGTCGACTTGCCCAGACAGTTTCCGCAATACTTCAATGAAGCATTCGGAAACGCATCAAGGGAGTCAATCGCGCGGCATGTCCGCACGTACTGGCCCTCATATCATCTAGCCGGCTCCGTATGTGCCCCAACAGCCATACATGCCGTATGGATCCCTATAAATGCAGCCGTCCCCCTTTGGGAGTCAGGCGGCACACCAGGTCCAGCCCATGGACTGGCAGCTCCGGCTGCTCAACCTTGGAGAACAGCCTTCGGCTTTCTCCCGGGAGATAACCGAGGTGACACAGCCGACCAAGGTTAAAAATGTGTTGATAGGTACCTACGACGGTACCACCAACCCGGAAGACCACCTAATGGCATACACCAACCTCATGTTGACAAGGGTTAAATCAGTCGCTACAATCTAACTCTCAATCAAACAATACTTATACGAACACCCTATAACCAAGTACAATGGCAAATAAAGGTTCGGTCCACGAGGAACGAGAGTAATTGCAAATCAATCTTAAACCTAAGCTAGTTCGAAATCAATGGAAAATGGTGTTCTAAAATACTACTAATAAGATGGAATAAATCAATAAACTAAGACACTAGGGAGAACGGGAATCCGCCTAACCATTGGTAACTAAGCAACAAGGAATCACAGAGACAAACGGGATATGCAAAGACTATATGTCTGATCAATATCATGTGATAGGAAGACAACGGGCAATACTAAGCTTGGATTTCTCATGCACTTAACATTACTCGATACATAATCAAACCACATTCAATAATGAAATACTCAATTCACAATCTCTTGTTCAAATCAAGGATATCATGCAATCAAATTCAAGATTCTAGGTTAGCTACTCCTATTATAATGAATTAACATGCAATCGCATATAATCAATTTAATCACAATCCGTTTATCAAAATCAATCCTCAATTACATAGATTACCTAGGCCGGGTTTCATCCCGAAACCCTAGCTAGGAGACTACTCACACATATTCATAATCAAAGCAATAATGAATTCCAAAAGCATAATAGAT